GATTAATTGTTTCAGCCCTAAAAGTGATATTTACCTTAACAGACGGATTGTTTTTATTTTTTTACAGTTCCAGACATAAAGAAAAGATCTAAAGATTCCTGTCAAAAAGTCCACCAACAGGTAAAAACATTTGCTCACAGATCAACAACTGGCTCGGCTGCAGTAACTGATGAATGTTGATCCTCAGAATCCAGACCATAAGCTGGTATCAGCAAAGACCTCCATCAGAACCGGTCATCCTCTGCTGCCCCTCAGCTCCATGGTTCCAGAAAGCTTCTATGCTCCAAGCCAGTCTGGTCAGTCTTTTCTCTTTAGCCCGTTTCCTGTTGTGGGTGTAAAACTGTCCAAAAGAACACAGGGAAAATTGTTCTGGAGTAAAATCATTACAGGATTTACTTTTTAAGGTGTGAAATGAGGAAAACACCCCAGAGTCATTTTGAAACAGCCAGATGTTTCTCTTTGTATTCTTTGTCAAGAGAACCTGTTGGTTCGGTTCTGGTTTTGTTCTCTGGATTGTGCGTAAACCTTTGTTTCTCCCCTCAGTCTGTGATTAATGGTGTAATTTACTGTCAGCAGATTTTTCTACGCTTTTATCCCCCATGGCTTCTCCTGAAGAGCTGAGGGACCTGACCGCGGCGATATTCCAGGTAGTTCATTCCGGCCTGATAAAGGCCTTTTTAGAAGGAAACTTTGCTGGCGCAGAAACGGCATCTCTCTCTGTATAACCCTTCAACAGGGTCCAGTGCTGTCCCCTCTCACAGGCAGCCCTCTGCTGTTCAAAGAAGAGACGGGGTGCTGTAAGCTTCTCGTCTAACACCATTTCTAACGTCTGCTTTTTTAGGCTTGTGTGAAGATTCTGTTTTTTTAAGGTCTCTTATAACAGATTTCAGGAACCTTGAAGATTTTCCTGACCCTCAGGAGAGCAACATAGCTGACAGTCAGACTACATCTACATATACTGAGGAGGAGAAATCTCAGATCCCTAAGAAGGTTGGACATTTTTTTTTGTTGTTCTTTTTTCAACCTTGTTTTTATTAAAGTTTTTCTTGCAACAGGAGTAACGGCAAACAAAGCACAGAGTGCAAAACAAATACAGACATTCAGGCGTCATAAACATCGTATTGTGGAAGCATATTTTTCTTTGGCCTATATGTACCTTTCCTCTGCCTAAATAGGCGTGATTGTTCAGAAGTCTTGTGCCAGTCTGTACCCTGGAGTTAAGATTGGGGACGATGGAAAGCAGTTGCCTCCGTACTCTAGACATGGTTGAAGGATGGGTCATGAGAGATAAGAATCACCCAGCCTCCTTCGTTCCACGAACGGGAGACCTGTTCTTAGTGTTTATCTGGCTAAAATGTATGTCTTTGATGAATTGATTTGTTGTTTCTTGGGAATAACCAAATGTTCAAGTGTAAGAAAGCTCTTTATGCAGGGGGTGGGTTCGTTCCCCTGGGGGGATTGTGTCTGATTTTGTAAGGAATAAATGTATGTATGGAAATGCCTCAGTCAGAGAGCACCATCTCTCCGTCCGAGGACGTTAAATAAATTTGAACCTTATTTGTTGCAACAAATGCCTTCGCCTCAGCTTCCTAACTCCAAAATACACTGCATGGCCAAAAAATAAGTCGCCACCTGGATTCAAGTAAGCAAATAGGTACAAGCCTCCTATTGGATAATTACTGCATGGGCAATTATCTTTCAGCTGGCAACAAGTTATTTAACCCCAACTGGTGCAATGACTTGCTTCTCATTTCCTAAACAACCATGTGGAAAGACACATCCCATGGTCATGGATAAGATGTTAGTCTGTTTGAGAAGGGTCCAATCATTGGCATGCATCAAGCAGAGAAAACATCTAAAGAGATGCAGAAACTACTAAAATTGGGTTAAGAACTGTCCAACACATTATTAAAAACTGGAAGGATAGTGGGGACCCATCATCTTCAAGGAAGAAATGTGGCCGGAAAAAAATCCAGAATGATGTTGATTGGTGATCACTTAAACGAGTGGTGAGATCAAATAAAAAAAACAACAACAGTAGAACTTAGGGCTGTGTTTAATACTGAAAGTAAGAGCATTTCCACACGCACAATGCGAAGGGAACTCAAGGGATTGGGACTGAACAGCTGTGTAGCCGTAAGAAAACCACTAATCAGTGAGGCTAAACAGTAAAAAAAAGGCTTCAATTTGCAAGAGAGCATAAAGATTGGACTGTGGAGCAATGGAAGAAGGTCATGTGGTCTAATAGTTCAGATTTACCCTGTTCCAGAGT